CCAGGGCCTCATCTGTGGGGGCGCAATAGGTTATGGAGATAGTTTCTCCAGCAGAGTCTCATCCTTTGGGATCTGCCTATCTTTTCAGCTGTGAGATCCTAGGGGACCCCCCCCACCCCATCCTTCACCCCACCAGCCAATCCCAGCCTCAGCTTGGCCCCACCATAGTCTCGATCTGGCTCCGGGTCTCCATTGGCCTCGCTGATTGCTCGCCGCGTGTCCAGAATCAACTTGATGTTGACAATGACGGTCACCAGTAGGAAAAGCACCGCCCCTGTCTGAGGGGAGCAGTAGGGATGACTAAGGAGGAGTGCCCCTCCAGATCACTGAGGGTCTTCCTGAAAGGAAGGCCCTGGCTGCAGTGAGGACACAGGGAGAGCCTGGGGCATGTCTTTCCTCCCTCTGTCCGCCCAGTTCTACTCCCCCAACCAGGGTCCAGTTTCAAGACCACCTCCTCCAGGGAGCCACCCCTGACCCTTCTCACTTCATCAGGGCCCTCCTTACCCAGAGCTCCTGTATTCTTCCATTTGAGGCCCTGATTTCCTTGGTCCCCTCCACAGTTAGTTCCCAGAGATGGAGCCAGTCCCAGAGAACCAAGATGGGGATCAGAAGACCTGGGTCTTAGTCCTGACTGCCTGACAGGTGTGTGGCCCTGAGCAAAGCCTTTCTGATCAGACTTCAGGTTTCTGTCAGAAGCCTAGGGGGTTGTACTTGGGTTCTGATTCCAGAACTCTGGGCCCAAACTACCACCTCGTAGGGGCATGACACAAAGAGGTTTCCTCTCTAGGAACCTGCCGCCTCTTTCCAGGGTTGGGAGCAGCCAAGGTAGGTCCCAGTGCCCATAGTCTAGGTTAGGGTAAAGCTGGGAGGGAGCCCCTGGGGGAGTTGGGACATCTCTATACCTGACAGAATCTCCGCAGGGCCCGCTGGTTGGTGAGTTTATACTTCCAGGTAAGATACCAGCTCCGCTTCTTCCGAGCCCCAAAGGGCTTGATGAGGGAACTGGGCTTCCAGTCGTCCATGCCGGATTGGGGAGTCACCACTGTCCTGGCCAACCCATGCCTTCAGGAATCTGAGAGGACCAGAGGGTCGGAGGGAGTAGGGTGTACCTCCCAAAGTCTGATGCCTTCTGAGGAGACCAGGGCGGACCTCCCAGCAACTCTTCCCCGCCAACATCCAGGCTGTGTGACCTGGGAAAAGTGGCTCAACTGCTCTAAAAAGGAACCCTTCGGCGGGGTCAGATCACCTGGAAACTCCCCTGGGGCTGGGGCTGGGGTGAGCCCCCCCCCCCTCCAGAGCAGAGGCCAAGTAATCAGCTCTCAAGGTTCAGCAGCCCCTAAAAGGACCAAGCCCCAGGCCTTCCTGGTCCTGGGGTGGGCAAAGGGCACAGGCACCACCCCCCAACCCTGGCCCCCAATCCTCCACCTCCTTGCGCCCTCGCCCTCTCCTATCTGGCCCCGCTCTTCTCCTTCCAGGGCTCGGGGCCGCCCTGAGGACTCGGAGACCTGCCCCGGCCGCGCCACCCCTCCGGGACTCCCGCCCAGAAGGACTCACGGTTCAGGGGGCCCGGGCCCCGCTCGGGCCCCTCTCGGGCCCGCACTGCTCTGCCCGGCGCGCCGCGGCCTCCGCCTCCTCCATGCCGCTCGCGGCCCCGCCCCGGCCCGGCCCGGCCCGCCTCCCCGCTTCCGCCGCCGCCGCCGCCGCGGGGTGAGAGGGCGGCGGGCGGTGCTTAGGGCGGCGGCGGCGGCGGGGGTCCGAGTACTTAGTCCCCCGGCAGCTTCGCAACTGGCGGCGGGGTGGCTGATGGGGGGGAGCAGCAGCACCCCCCGCCCTTAGTCTTGGCCCCCAGCATCGTGGATGGCAAACCCGATTCAAGTCGGAGTCCTGGAGCCTCGGACGAGACCGCTCGGGGTGCCAGGGTCAGAGGGCCTAGAGGCCTGGGACACGGCTACCCGCTTTCCCTGCTTAGGCAAGGCTGAACCCAGGCCTGCGGTATGCCTTTGGAGGCTAAGAGGAATTAAAAATCTGCTTCTACCACTACCCTAGACCTTGGGCAAGTCACTTCACGTCTCAGGCTGGATTCCCTGATCTGTGAAATGGGGGTATGCTTATATGATGCTTACTCTATGCCAGTCACTGTTCCAAGCACTTTTCTTCCATCAACTCATTTAATTCCACAACAGCCATGAAATAGGTACTTTAGTAATGAGGCCCAAGGTCACAAAGCTGGGAGAGCTAGAATTCAGACCAAGTTATCCCAGCTCGATTCCACTCTTAACCTGCCGCCCTATATTGACAAGAGTAATACAGAGTTGTCCTTAAGGTTTAATGAGATAATACATACAAAGCACTTAGCTTAACACAGTGGTTCTTAAACTTTACCTTGCATCAGAATCACTCGGAGGGCGTCTTAAAACACAAATTGCTGGGCCCCATTCTTAAGAGTTTTCGATTCAGTAGTCCGGGGCAGAGCAGAATACTGCATTTCTAACAAGTTTCTAGAAGATGGCGATGCTTATTTGAAGTGAGTAGGTAGACAGGGAAGTTTTAAGCAGAGGAGTGATATATTCCTATTTAAGAGAAACTTTACTGTTTTGTGGAGAATGTTTTAAAAGGAAACGGAGGAAGCCAGAAGACCAGTTAGATTTTTTTGAGCTCTCCATATTCCACCTGCTTCCTAAATGGTGGGATGGTATCCCCCAAAATGTTAACATAAGTGATTTTTCCTTTTTTTTTTTGTATTATTCCTAATAAGTATGTATTAGAGAAAATCTAACACATTTTATTAGCATTTGAAAAAGATGTCCCTCAGGGCTCCTCCCTGATCTTCACTGCTCAGTCTCACTCTTCATGGTAGATCTTTTTTTTTTCTTTTAAGATTTTATTTATTTATTTGAGAGAGAGAGAGCATGAGAGGGGAGAGAGTCCGAGGGAGAAGCAGACTCCCCGCTGAGCTGGGAGCCTGATGCGGGGCTCTGGGATCATGACCTGAGCCGAAAGCAGTCGCTTAACCAACTGAGCCATCCAGGCATTATCCCCTCTCCTGACCTCTATTACCGCCTAGATTCTTACACTCATAACGGCAGCCCTAACATTTCTCCTGAGCTCTAGGCTGACCTGTGTCCAACTGCCTGCTGGAAATCTTCACAGGACCCTCCAACTCAATGCAAACCCTGCTGTGATCATCCCTTCCCATTCCTAGACTTCTTTTTGGGTTCCCTTCCTTTTTGAATGGCATCAGGCCAAACAGCTGTCACCCATGAATCCTCTACTCCAACAACCAGTCCAGGTCTGTTTGCTCATCACTGTATTCTCTGTACCACACACACTGGCTAACAAATAATAGACTCCCCATAATATTTATTGGAATCATTTGCTTTCTTGAACAAGCCTTCATGAATGCCACTATAAATAAATGAATGTAACTAGTCAGCAAGTCTTGTCAATCTTACCTCCTTAAGAGTTCTCCATTCTGGCCTAACTCTTCTCCAACCTCACAACCAGCCACTGGTCCAGGCCATTTCAGTTTCTTGCCTTCCAATCAGTTTCCTTGACTCCAGATTTGCACCCCTCCAATCCTTTCTCCCTTGGAAAATCCAGAGTAATTTTTCAAAAAGGCAAATCTGTTTTTTTAACCTCTGATAACCCTTCTGTGGACCAAGAGATACTAAGGAAAAATATTTTACTTAAGGTTACAGAGGTAACCATTAAATGATCTAAAAATAATGATAGAAATATATAGGTCAATGGAAGAGGGCAAGTACAGAGTGTGAGATAAATCATATTTATCATAGCAGGAAGTCAGTAGACAATATTTAAAATTAATAAATAGTAGTGCTGTATAAGTGTATGTGGGGTTTTTTTTTTTTTTTAAGATCTTATTTATTTGACAAAGAGAAACACAGCAAGAGAGGGAACACAAGCCAGGGAGCGGGAGAGGGAGAATCGGGCTTCCTGCCGAGCAGGGAGACTGGGAGACCGATGTGGGGCTCGATCCCAGGACCCTGGGATCATGACCCGAGCCAAAGGCAGACGCTTAACGACTGGGCCACCCAGGTGCCCCAGTGTATGTGGGGTTATATGTATAAACACCAGAAAAAAATAGTAAAATGTCGTTGCCTCCGGGGAGTGGGGCTAGAGGTGGAAAAGGATAGAGCTGGTTAACTATCTTTACATTGTAAATCCTTCTGTGACCACGCACTGGAATTACTTGGATTAAATACCCAAATCAAGCCAAAACAAAAAAAGTTTTTCATGGCTCCTCATTGCCTATAAAGTATAATCCAAGCACCATGGAACCATCTTCTATGACCTTGTTACTCAAAGTGTGGTCCCTGGCCCAGCAGCATGGCCATCACCTGGGAGCTTATTAGAAAAGAACCTCAGACTCCTTCCCGGATCTACAGAATCACCATCTGCGTTTTAACAAGATTTGCAGAAAATTCATAACCACAGACAGTCAAGCTTAAGAAACATCAGTCTACAGGATCAAGCATGATCCGGCCCATGTGGACCTTTTCATCTTCAATACTGGTTGCTTCTCATTGGCCAGAAGAACGTTATTTTCTACTTCTTTAAACTCAGTGACAGGGCAGTGGGCTGGCTCAGTCAGAAGAACATGTAACTCTTGATCTCCGGGTCTGAGTTTGAACTCCATGTTGGGTGTAGAGATTACTTTAAAATGAATGAATAAATAAACTTTAAAAAATAAAAAATAAATTCAGTGGCTACACTGAACTTGTGTGTGTCAGTAGCTAGCTAAATTCTAACCATTGCTGTAGACCCAGCCCTTCTACTCCAGGAAGCCTTTCAAAACCTTCTGCAGCTTCTGTCACCACTGTTCCTTAAACGCCCATATCCCTAACGGAGGATGCTTAGCTTTTTTCAGCAAACACTTATTGGGCGCCTGCTGTGTGACTGGCTGGATTCAGTTGGCAGAGTGGGGAGAAGGCACTGAACTCTCCTAGTGCTCTTTCAAGTACAAATCCAAGTACAAATCGCCCAGCCCCGCTCTGCGCGGCTTTTCTGAGTGTTACGGCGCCCTCCGCCCGCCCCCGCGCGACGCCGGCGGGGACCCACCGGTTCGGCTCCGCACCGCAGCGCGGAAAGGAGAACCCCGGGAACGAGACCCCGCCGTCCGGTCGCCCAGTCCTCTTCAGCCGTAGGCCCGCATGGAGTGGACTGCGGAGTCCCAGACGCCTGACCTGCGAGATGTGGAGGGCAAGGTGGGCAGGAAGACCCCTGAAGGGCTGCTCCGCGGGCTGCGGGGCGAATGGGAGCCGGGAACGTCCGGCGCCCTGCTGCTCCCGGGGGCGCCTAGCACCGGCCACGTCCACGGCCTGGGGGACAAGATCATGGCGCTGAGGATGGAGCTGGTGAGTGTGGGCTCCATGGGCCAGGAGGACGGAGTCCCCAGCTAGGGTTGGAAGGGACAGATTTATGCCCCCAGAGTTGGAGTGGAGAGGAGCGAATTAAAACTACCTAAGTCCTCAGGATCCCCCCCCCCCAGATCAATTCTTAAACCCTGGGGTCCATTAATTGCCCCTCCAAGGGTGAGTGGGTCCTGAAGACTTGAGGTGGGAGGCACTGGCTCTTGGAAGTTTTTCCTGCCAAATATTTGGGAGGGGAGAGGTGAGGCTGGGAAGCACTGAGAATCTAGCACAGCACAAATCTGCCCCCACCCTACCCCCCACCTTGGGCCATCTATCCCCTGGCCGCCATTATAGGGCAACCAGTTTCTTCTACTGCAAACTGGGTGCAGCGTTTGCTCGTCTGAGGCCTGGGTGTTCATGACAGGATTCAGCACAGAAGAGATCTGGGTGAAAACCGCCTGGACTAGGGCTACTAGAAACATCCTCCCTTTCCCCAACCTCCCCCCACCCAACCCCCACTTAAAGTACTTGGAAGTTCCTAGAACCTGGGCAGAGTAGCAGCACCATCACCTCTGAGCCCCCCAGGTGTACTGGATTTTTGCATCTCATCTGTACCTTCTTGGGGAGAAAAGAAGGAAATAGGCACCCTCTCCCTCCCCTGTTGCTGCTGGTCTAGATCCAGAGCCAGAAGGGCATTTGGGGCTGCCCAGGCTCCCCAAGGCCCTGGTTCCAGTGAAGGGGGTAATTTACACCTGCCACTACTTTGCAGCCAGTTCTGGGGAACTGAAGAATTCTCTCTGGCTCAGAACCAGGAGGCCACAGTGAGTGTGTCAGCTAATAGGTCTTTCTGGAGCCCACCATCTGCCTAGCTGGGCTGTGAGAGAGCAGAGAAGGAGGGCATGGGGGCTCTTAGGCTGGGAGGAGAGCTTTCTGGGCAGAGGAATCAGGGAAGGCTCCGTGGGGGAAGGATTTAAATGCCATGTGTGTACTTGGCCTGAAGGTTGGAGGTGAATGCCAAATTCTTCAGAGAGGGCTGTGACTGCCCACCTAAGGGAGGGGCTTGACTTTGCTTCATTGTACAGAGTGGTGCCAGGCATCATGCTGAGCACTTTACCAAATATTCGCTTAATCTTCACAGCAACCTTATTAGGCAAATGATATTTTATAGATAAAGAAACAGGTACAAAGAGGTTAAGTAACTGCCCAAGGTCGTACAAAAAGTAAAAAGCAGAGCCAGGTTTTGAACTCAGATGATCTGCCTGCACTTTACATTTTCACCATTGAGATCTGCTTTGTGCCAGACACTTTAAAGACATTTTATGTCATTGAAGTGAGAAAAGCAGTCATCTTTCCCCAGTCCCATAGATGAAGCATGCTTGCAGGTGTTAAGGGGCTCACCTGTGCTTACACAGGGAGCCAGTGGAGAAGTCATGCCTCTTCTCTGGCTCTCACTCTTTTGCCTTTGATGGAGATTAGCTGTTTGTAAACTTTAAGGGGGTACCTTTAACTTCTGATTAGGTCTCTACGTTCTTGACCTAGCCTGGCCCGGGACCCTAGGCTGCCCATTAAAGGTACAAAGGAGGGAGCCTGCTGGGGGCCAGAACAGGGAAAGGCTCCCTACCCCATTCCTTTCTCCTTCCTTGGCCAAGATGTCTTTGTGTACTCAGCCCTGCCCACTGGGGGGGGGGGGGGGGTTGGGGGCTGGGCAGACGGTTTCCCTCGGAGCCACTCACTGGTGGCAGAACTGGTCCAAGCTCTCTAAGCACTCCTGCAGGGAGGGGGCAGGCCTGCTCTTAAGGCCAAGGTTATTCCTGCCTCTAGGCTCCTTTCCTCTTGCTTCCCTCCCCCTCTCACCGGTTGAGTGAAGCAGCCACACTCTGGGATTTGTGGGAAGGGAAACAATGGCAACCTCCCCTACTTAATCCTCCTACCCAAGGAACTGTTGCTGCGACAACCCACCCCCACAGAGCAGTTTGAAAAAAAAGCTTTAGGCAAGGAGGGGAAGTCATGGGTTCAAGTCCTGACTCAGCTCCTGAGTCATTTTGAGATCTTGAGCAGAGCCCTGACTTTCTGTTGGCCTCAGTTTTTCTGCCTCTTGGAGGATGAGGGGACAGGGACTTGTGGGATCATATAGTCCTAGTAACAATAGTGTGAGAATCTCAATCCATGGCCAGGGAGCTGGGCCTGGGATCTCCGGGCTTTACCCCGGGGCCTGATGTGGATTGAGCAACGAGGAAGCCATACTTGTGACCCTGGGGCTGGGCAGAGAGTCTGCTGTTTATGTGTTAAGAGGGGTAGTAGGGGACCTGAATCCCCCTGGGAAGAGAAGTGGGTTGGAGTAGCCTTTGAGGCTGCATCTGTCCTGAGGATTTATCCCCTTTCTGTTTCCAAAGAGATGGTATGGAATGAGTGTTTCTTTTTCTGGCAAGAAAGCCTTGCTTTTTTCTATTCTGGGGAGTGTTGCTGTCACAGTCAGGGAATCCCACTGTCACAGGACTATAGAATCTAGTTCTCAGATTCATTTCCCATCAACACGGTAAAACTCAACCCCCTGAATCCTGGAGACCACCAGAGGGGCCAAGAATACTAAAGGCAAGAGATCACAAAGCTGACTCTGACCCATCCAATCTGAGGCTAAGCACCATCAACGAACTGTGCAGGACCTGCTGTCAGGGAGCTCACAGACTGAGTTCACAGGAAGGAGGGAGACAGACTAATAACTCTGGTACAGGATGATAAGTGTTACTAGAACCCAGGATGGGCTTCCTGGAAGAGTCTTCATTAAGGAGTCACATGGTCAGATTTGTACTCTGGAAAGACTACTTTTTTATTTTATTTTATTTTTTATTTTTTATTTTTTTTATTTTTTTATTCATGAGAGACAGAGCGAGAGAGAAAGGCAGAGGGAGAAGCAGGCTCCCAAGGAGCAGGGAGCCCGATGCGGGACTCGATCCCAGGACCCTGAGATCATGACCTGAGCCGAAGGCAGACGCTTAACCATCTGAGCCACCCAGGCGCCCTACTTTTTTATTTTTAAGATTTTATTTTTGGGGCTCCTGGGTGGCTCAGTCGGTTAAGTGCCTGCCTTCAGCTCTGGTCACAATCTCAGGGTCTGGGGATTGAGCCCTGCTTCAGGCTCCCTGCTCACTGGGGAGCCTGCTTCTCCATCTCCCTCTGCCTGCCACTCCCCCTGCTTGTGCTCTCTCGCTCTCTCTCATATAAATAAAATCTTTATAAAAATTAAGATTTTATTTTCAAGTAATCTCTACACCCAAAGTGGGGCTCGAAACTACAATCTCTAGATCAAGAGTCACACGCTCTACCGACTGAGCCAGCCAGGCACCCATGGAAAGGCCACTTTGAATTGGAGGGGATACATGCTGTGTCCTCTGGTTGGAATGCCTCTCTCCACCGCTTACTCAGGCTAAGTCCTACTTAACCTTTGTTTTTGTTTTTTTAAGCTTTTTTTAAATTTAAATTTAAATTTAATTTAATTTATTTGACAGAGAGAGAGACAGCGAGAGAGGGAACACAAGCAGGGGGGAGTAGGAGAGGGAGAGGGAGAAGCAGGCCTCCCGCCGAGCAGGCAGCCCGATGCGGGGCTCGAACCCAGGATCCTGGGATCATGACCTGAGCCGAAGGCAGACGCTTAACCGACTGAGCCACCCGGGCGCCAACCCCCCCCATTAACCTTTGTGTCTCAGCTCATGTGCCTTATCACAGGAAACATTTTCTTACCTGCCTTGGTTGGGTTATGGTCCTCTGGATAGCACTTGTTTCCCGTAGCATTTGCCACCCTGGATCTTAAGTGCCTGTGTCATCGTCTTATCTTACCCATAAACTGTGAACTCTCTGAGGTTAAGAAATGGTGTCTTTTCTTCCTTTAACACAATGTGATACCTATAAGAAACACTCCCTAAATATTGTTTCATAACTGAATAGATTAATTCTATCTTTTTTTTTTTAAGATTTTATTTATTTATTTGACACAGAGAGAGAGAGACAGCGAGAGAGGGAACACAAGCAGGGGGAGTGGGAGAGGGAGAAGCAGGCTTCCCGCCCAGTAGGGAGCCGGATGCGGGGCCGATGCGGGGCCCGACGCGGGGCTCGATCCCAGGACCCTGGGATCATGACATGAGCCAAAGGCAGACGCTTAATGACTGAGCCACCCAGGTGCCCCCTGGATTAATTCTATCTTAAGGAAGAGCAGGGAAGACTTCCTAGAAGAGGAATGGCATTTGAGGCTGGGGCTTGAAGGATGAATAAAGTCAGCGAGAATTCCAATTCAAGATGGCAGACTGAACGCATGCATTTACCTCTATTTCCTTCTGAAACTTCACTAAAAAGCCAGTAGAAGGATTATTTTAAAGGCCATGAAACCATTATGACAACAAAAACAGGAGAGAAGATGACAGGAACAAAATTTTGGAAGCTGAAAAGCAGAAGTAAGAGTGGTAACTTAGAAGACCTGAAAAAAGCTGAATTCCAAGCCAGCAGCAAGGAAAGCTGAAAAAGCAACACATTTTGCACTACAGAAACTCTCAAAGGTCTCAGGAGTTGGAAGCATGAGGTATTTCTGGAACTGGGGGCACAAGTGAAGCTGAAAACAAAAGGGTTTGTGAATGTCTGTTTAAGAATTGTACTCTAGGGCGCCTGGGTGGCTCAGTTGGTTAAGCGACTGCCTTCGGCTCAGGTCATGATCCTGGAGTCCCTGGATGGAGTCCCGCATCGGGCTTCCTGCTCGGCAGGGAGTCTGCTTCTCCCTCTGACCCTCCCCTCTGTCATGTGCTCTCTCATTCTCTCTCTCTCAAATAAATAAATAAAATCTTTAAAAAAAAAAAAAAAAAGAATTGTACTCTAAGATCCCCTCCCTAACTGGGCAACCAGGTGCCAGCCACTTCTTTATCCTAACAGAAGATTGGAGTAAGTTCTGGAAAAGAATAGTTCAGAGGGAAGGGAGGAAGGGGGAGGGGAAGAAAGGAGGGAAGAAAGGAAGGAAGGAG